TATTATTATTATAACTGTTCAAGTGACTATTCTATGTTTGCAAGTTCAAAACTGGGAGAATGTTTACCAATACTTGCTATGACATCACACTGATTACAGCAAGCATATTTAGAATATATGTATTAAAACATGTGCAGCCTACACTGTTTTTTACATTATACCAGAATTTAAAGTCAAAATACGATTCTGCACATCTAATTGTACAGTAGTATCTGCATAACTACAATCAAAATGACAAGCCAGAGAATAGAGAACAGTTATTCAGAATTAGCAATATCTAAATAAGCTTAAGGCTGATTTTTACAGTTTTCTCTGTTACCTTTTCTGTATTTCATTGTTCATAGGGTCCATTTCATTGGCTCGCCTAATCATTTCCTCTTGGAGCCAATAGCCATGGTTACAAGGTCCAATAATATCAGGTCTAGACGGCAGTTCTTTGCGGTTGCAGCGCTGATAGATAGTGACAAGACGCCGAAGTCTGGCTGTGAGAGCAGATGACACAGGCCAGCTGAATTTGTCTGGGTCGGAGCCATCCTGGGCTTCAAACATCAGCAAGGTTATTAGTATTTAATATCACCTGAAGAATCCTTCCATTGACATCCTCTATTCATTTACCTATGTTGGAATATATAGCCTGATCCAGCATATTCATATGAACTCTGATTTACTCAATTAACCCAATTTCCTGAATTCACTTGACACACAGAACTATAACTAACTGGCTAAGTTGTCACGAGTTAAAATATGCTTCATTTATTTATGGCTGAGTATGTCTTGAAGGCAAAATCACTGTTTACACTAATCCTTAGTTCTGTAATTGTGAAAGGCATGTACATCTCTTTTTGAGTCCTTCAGTGTTCAAACTTCCTTGACAATAAGTGTTCCATAATGGAGTCAATTGTCCAAAGAGGTGGTAAACTCTCCTTTGATAGGTATGGTCCACTAGGGACTAGGCAGCCACCTCTTGTGGATGATTTCTCTTGGGGGTTAGATTTGATCTCCTAAAACAAATGTTCCATACAACTCTATGATTCCATTATTTTGTTTATTTTGCTCTATTCAGTCTCATACCTTTGATAATAATAGTAACAAAAACTGAAGGTGCGTGATAAAAAATGCACACAGATAGGCATGCTTAAATAGAATAAAGCAAGCTTGATATTAAATAGCAAACTACTTTGCAAACAATCTATTAACACAGCGAGCTGGTCAGCTGTACACCACTTTCAAAGGTTTTCCCACACCATCTGTTCTAAGCTATTTTAAGTATTCAAAGGAAAGAGAAATGAAAGCATTTGAAGAAGCAGCTAATATTTAGAGAAAAATATCTCCAATATGTCTCCAATATTACTGATTTTTTCCATAATGATATTAGAATTATGTTTTCTATGGTAAACGTTTTATAAACTATAGTTACTAAAAAGGCTAACAAACTAATATTTGAGACAATTTTATTTCAAGGAATATTCATATGCACAGCCTCACCTGCCACATTGTCATCCTTCTTCTCAGGATCTGGACCACAAGTATCAGAAATTTCCTATGGAAAGACAAACTATTATCAATAAAATGCAATTTAAATACTAGATCCTAGGACAAATTTGAATATGCAAAACAAGCAATTAAGTAGGGACTGATACATTATTTCATTTATAGATTAGAAATACTTAGTAGGAAATCTGGGAAGTTCAATCATGACTCCTTTAGGGAATGCAGAGCTGAGAAAACTGGCTACACCTCTTAAAATACATAGGAAGAAATCCAATCTATATGGCTTGCATTACTGCATATATGGTAAAGGCACCATTACGAATCTGCCTGAAAACATTTTAACATCAATATGATCCAGAATACGTATTGTTAAAGTTGCAGAACATCTTTAAAATAGAAAAGAAGATAGAGTGAGAAATACATTTTCTGCCTTAGACTTACCTCCTGTTTGTCTACTCCAGCTAGTTTATCTGCACTACTCTCTTCTTTGTCTGTATTTCCTCTGAGGAAAAGAATCCAACAGGAAATTAATCAGTAGAAACTTTGCAAGTCAAAGTCATTGTGATAAAAGTTCTTCAAATGCAAATATCATGGACGCAATAACAGCACTGGCTCTTTTACTTCTCATATGCATATACATCTGCTTTATATAGAAATTTGCGTAACTTGTATACAGCACAGCACTCATTCCATCCCAATGTTTTTGCAGTCTTAATGTGACAGCAACACTAACAATTGTTCCTCTTTAATTTTCAAAGATTATGACTCTACATGTGTATGCAAAGCTCTAAGTAAATAGATGGAAAAACAGGAAAAATGATGTAAAGGAAATTTTACTATAACTGACTTCCCACAGTATTTCAAGGGTTGCTTTTTTGTCAGAGGATTGAAAAAATGAAATACTGTATACTTAACAATACCTTAAACATATTACTAGTGCAATTAGATATACATATGCAACACATATGTCAAAATTTGAATCAGTACGAATTATCTATGAAAAGATCACTGGTGATGGTGGCAACTACAGCCAGATAGGAAAAATAAAGCACTGAGAAGATTGATGGGTCCAAGCCATTGGGTGCGGGGTGGGAAGCACACTAATCTTGCTTGACTTGTGCCATAGGACTTGCCTAGATTTAGTTTCACTTCAAACCCAGAACAACCAAACTGTTCCAGGTTCTTGTGCTGATGAACCACAGACCACCCAAAAGGGTTTGGCAGAACTTTTGAAACACAATGTAGTTGTCTTGGATTCAAGATAAAACATTTTCTGTTTTGTACGTGCCCTTGTGCACTAACTGTTTTAGAAGTACACACTCACAGGCAATTCTATTCCTGTGACAGTTTTGCCTGCCCAATCTGACTTACCGTTCTGGAGCATCCTGTACTCCATCAGTGACATTCTGCTCTGCACACAGTAGTTTCTCATCTGGCATGCCCACTTTCTCAAGAAAGTACAGAGCTGAGTCAGCTCGCATTGCATTGTATCGTTCATAACCTAATAAAATAATTAAAACCATTCAGTATTATCCGAAGAACAACTTAAAGCCATACCACTACTCCCTTAGCAACCACATGAATAGCAAGTAACAGCAGAATGGCTAGTCCCTTTATAGGACTCAGTGCCATTTCTGATTGTATATGTGAATCTCAAAAACCTTAAGGAAATCAAAGAGGATTTCAAATATGAAGAGTTTAGCATAATTCAGCCATGTATGAGCAGAAAATATATAAAATATTGTATTTCAAAATATTTTTGAGATGCAGAGACATGTAGAGCTAGTTCTTGGTTAGCGTCAGTAATTGGGACTAGGATTTCCATCCCTAAACATGTGGTCATAAAGCACAAATTCAAGTGAATGTCAAGTGACCATGTCACTTAGTAGTTTTGGTTGCCATTATTCACTGACTCTCATCACTGTTCATTAGACAAAGATCCAATCCAATCCATTTCAGGGTTGGCTCCTCCCAGTCCTGAGCCTCAGTGAGAAAACTGATTGCTTCCTCTTGAATTCCCTGCCCCACCTATGTCTCTTTTGCTAACCACATACCCATGGCCACCACCTGTTCCCAATACCCAGACCTGCCCGCCACCATACCTGTCAACCTATACACCACTGCTGCACCAGCTGGGACCTTCTTTAGCCCCAGTGCAGCCGGGGCTCCTCTTGCACCCCATCCAGGGTCTCCATTTACGCCACACCCAGGAACTCCATTTGCACACCAGTCAGGGCCTACATTTATACCCCTCCTGGGCCTTCATTCACAAAAGAAGCCTGGTATGTGAAAGAAGGCCTAGCTACAAGAGTTCTTGTTTTGCACCAGCGTTGAATGAAGGCAGTGGTGGGATTCAAATATGTGAACCACTGGTTCTCTGTGTGGATGCCGCTTCCGGAAGTCCATTCTGGGGCTGGGCAACAAAAAATTAGCTACCAGTTCTGCTGAAGTGGTGCGAACCGGCTGAATCCCACCACTGAATGAAGGCCCTGATGGTGCAGCATAAAAGAAAGACCCAAGTAGAAGGAAAAAGGTAGCATGAAAGCAAGCAGTGCGAAAGAAGGCCCTGGACAGTATAGTACTGCTTTGCCAGTGGGCGCAGTGGTAATAGGCAGAGCCAGGTGGCATGGCAATTGGCAGCAGCAGGTAAGCAAGGGGCCAAAAAAGGCACTCATAAATGGGAGGGAGAATTTGGCCCAAATTTTGTTCAAGTGACCACAAAGGAGCTGCAACAGGCAGAACAGCCACTGATTAGTCCCAGGCATTAGTTCAGCACCATCATAATTTTAAATGGTTGCTGAACAAATGGACATTAAATGAGGACTACTTGTACTTAAATTAAATTACAATCCATGTAATGCATCACTCACACATTCTTTTTCACAATCTGAATATAAAATACATATAATCACATATTATTACTTTACTTTACTTTGGTCAAATTGTACAGGAGCTACTGTTCATGTTTCCTCAGAGATCCAACAAATTTAATGAAGCCAGTTCACTGGTAGGTGTTCATAAGATTGGAGTTTCCTCAGAGAAGAATTTGCTCCTTATTTAGGCATCTAATATATACTGGTGGGCATGAGCAGCACAACTCTTAAAACTGGCATGTCTTTTTTTAGGCTTTCATGGAAGCCTGAAAAGAGAGGTGGCAGGAAGGAGTGCTGCACTTGTACCAGTAATGAAATATTTCCTCCAAAGCATTTTATACAAGAGGAATGTCTACGAAAGGTCCATCCCACATAAAGGGAAATACCATGTTTAAAAACTCCAATGAGGAGGGATTTATCTGCATCAGCATTCCACCAGTCCACAGGAATCTCCACATAGTCAATGTCCGGCAGCAAGACATCTAAATCTCTGCAAAGAACAAAGCATATTTCAACAGTCATATACAGGTCTGGGCACATGTTTAAATTACTTTTGTAAAAGGTTTACCTTAAAAAATGTTAAGAAAGGACTTGATGAAACTCTGGGTAAAAGAATGATATGAAACTACTGTAAAAATGTCTACAGTATTACCAGCTCTGATAATTATTCATTAATCTAGCATTTGGCTTCTAAAGTCTATTTTAAAGTCTGGGTATTTTTGTAAGCACACTCAAAATGGACTATATGGCATCATTTCAAATTAGATTCTAAAAGGTGCTTCAGAGCGCATCTACTTACAACTCTTTAAAATAGCGGTAACTCTTCTCGTTGATGTCAACTGCAAAATTTGGGGAGAACCCACAGATGTTTTAAAGAACTGCACAGAATTATCATAACTCAATAATACTTGAGGAATCATCTCACCCCTATGGGACAGGCCGCCCCACCTATGCCAGCAGAGAAGGCATGCTGCGGATCCCATCAGTCAAGAAATTCTGTCTGAGGGGGATCAGGAGAAAAGCCTAGTCTGCTGCAGCTCCAGCCCTTTCGAACATCTTGCCCCCTCAAGTGAGATTGACTCCCACTCTCTTGACCTTTCAAAAAAATCAGAAGACTCTGCCAGTTGGCTTGAAGCCCCAATGGGGGAGTATCACATTGGAGGTGGTTGATCAATTAATAGCAACTCCCCCCTTGCTCCCCCTACATTCTACTCCTTTCCTCTACATCTTTTAGTTTTAAGTTAAAATTTATATTTTATTATAATTGTATTGTGATTTTACACATTTGTCTGTATATGTTTATGGCTTTATTTTGATGTTGTAAGCCACCCAGAGTCGCTTTGCAACAAATGGGTGGCAAACAAATTTAATAAATAAAATAATAAATAAGTAAAATAAATATCTGTGAACTCAGTTATTTCCGAGAGGTTGCTTTAGTTGATGGTGGTGGTGTTTTTTAATCAAAACTGATGGGGTTAATAATTAACTAATAAGTATATATTGATACTAACTTTTTTTCCTCTGGTAGCATTCTACCAGTCATATTGCAATCAACAGAATTTCAGCACTTTTTCATATACCAATCTGGTGTGTTTACCTAAAGCTACACTATGAAAGAGGCAGCTCTCACTCAAAAGAAAATCAATAGATGTAAATCAGATTTGTTTATATTTGGTTCAGTTAACTTTTTTGTTATAATATTGGAATGCTTTGGTAATAGATAAAATTAAATTAATACTGTTCATTACAGTACTACTGTAGTATTTTTTGCAAATTTCAGGGCAGTACTACTTCCAAGGTAATTTTGTTCAGTATTATTTGCTCTGCTAAAAAAGACTGGATTCATATGTCATGCTATATTTTAATGTGGTTTGTTTGGTTTTGACTTGTTATCTGAACCCATCACTGTGGTTGGAAATCATTATTTAACACTTAGTAACACTCTGTACCCAAAACATCACAATTAAACAATTACAACTTATACAATATATGAACTGAGACAAACACTATAGACTGCATGCATGTAGTTTGCTCTTAACTCTATGTGTGTGTACTCATTCATTCATTCATTCATTCATTCATTCATTCATTCATTCATTCATTTTCTTTTAAGTAAGAGGATGTTTACAATATGAATATATATGCATTCAGAGTCCTACAATCCCCTGCTAAGTGTAAAACTTACGCACGTGCAAGAATGCAGTCCAAGCACATGCTGTCTATACTTCCAATATTGTGACTATAACACAACAGATTATAAAGCAAAACTCCAGAAGGCTAATGTAACATACTTGGCAGGGGTTCCTTCAAAAGCTTTATCAGCTGCCTCCCCCAGCACTTCAGCTTTCAAGTAATAGAGCATCCGTACTCTCAACAGCACTCTGCCAAAAGGAAAAGCAGACCAGAAGGTAACTTAGACAGTAAATCTGAGTTTCAACATGGTTTCCAGATCCATTTTAAGTTTACAGGATGTATTTAGCCTTGTTTGTTGGCAATGGGAACTGCTATTATGCCATTCAAAGTTGGCACCGTAGGACCAAATGCCATTCTTCTAGAAAATAAGCTCTCAAAAGCTGATATTGGTGAATAAGAAGTAATGAGTAAGAGATAGCTCACTTGTACATGAAATTCATTACCGTACAAATCCAACTGACTGTAAGATTACTGGGCAGTGTTAAATAATAGGCAAGTAAGTAAACCAGCCAATATCAGTAGATAATCTAAATAAGGCTATTCCACCTAATATGTGTGAATAAAAAGATTTTAAAAATATACATGAGATAAGGAAATGATAAGGAACTAGACGCTATAAGCAATGAAATAAAGAATAATATGATCCAGAAAGCCTATAAAAAGGATGGTGCTTATTAACATCTCTTAATATCTACTTAGTGCCCCCCCACTTGCTCCATGAGGGGCAATTTATAGTACTTACATCAGTTGTTAAGATGCAAGTACTTAATGGCAACATTTGTATGACATCATTCTTTCTATGTCATTATTTTAGCATCACTGTGGTTTGCTGCAGATGTCACTGCAGCTTAATTATATTTGGGACATAGGAGATTGCAGACTCATACCATGTCTTCTGCATACGAGAGAAGTTCCTAGATTTTTCAAATGGCAAAATGGCTCAAAAAGCATTATAAAAACCTTAGAAATATCCACAAGGGTTTCACAATATTTGTTCCATGTAAACATGCCTTTTAATTATTAGAGAAACAGAGAAAAGAGTAATTTTTAAATTGGAGATGGGGATAGGAAAGCCCTGCCCCAAACCTGAACCAATCTGTTTTGATCATAAATGCATGGATTGTTTCCCTAGTCCCATATGTTCTGGAAAAGAACATGTGTGAAAAACAGCAATATCAATGAAACGTTTTGCTTTCTACTCTCTAGAGCTTGTTAGCCAATTTCCATGGATCTATCTCAGGGAATACATTTTAAATACAAGCACAAATTCATGAGCCACTTATAAGTTTTAATCCTGGCTCAGAATTTAGAACTGAAAATCAGATAAGTGTTCCAGAAGTATGACAGCAGTGCCTTAATGCTTTCATTTGCTCACTTATTGCAGTGTTGTTTCAGATGCTTTTTGTAGCTATCATCATGTAGGATGATTTCAGGATTGCAAGTAGTAAGCCAGTCTGCATTCTTAATCTCAGGTAGCAGCATTTGATTCTTGGTTTTCTTCCCCTTCCTTCCTCTTGGCACTGGAGCTGATAATCCTGCAATAGGCAAGGGAAAGCATATGAGCAGCACTGCTGAATCAGGATGTGACTATATAATAGAAAATCAAAACAGAAAAAAATAGTTCAGATGTAAATGGAACTGGCAGAACACAAAGAAAACACATTTTTCTCTTCATTGTCCATCCCAGACGTCTAATTATTCAAATAGAACCTGGGATTGGAAAAATATATCATTCTTGCCCACATCTGGTAGTTGCATATAAGTATAGCAAAGTTCCTAGGTTACTTGTAGACCACACATTATACAGTTAGTTTCCAAAAAGTTAATTTAGTATCACAAAGATTGATCAGAATTCCTCTTTGCTAACTTCAAATTATGAACACGTAGCTCATCAGAAAGACAAGGAATATAAAATAAAATAAAAATGATTGCAGAAAAACTGCATTAAACTATACAGTTTTATTTATCGGTAATTATATGTATGTAAACACACATTTACCTCCCTGCCCCCTCATACTGAATTCAGACACAGATTCTCCAAGGATTTCATTGACAGAATCCTTTTACTTTAGCAACAATATTTACTCAGACTTCTATGCTGCTCCAATCAGAAAATTAAAAACAATACAAGGAAAGCCAAAAGTAATCAAAAGCAATCATTACCCCACTCTCAAATCAATCAACAGTTCCAATCAAGATCCTTAGAGGCAGAATCATCCTTTCATTCTGCCCCCAAATGACTTCTTGGAGAGCCAGGTCTTAACTGCTTTATGGAAACTTAATCGGGAAGGATCTGACCTTATGTTGGGAAAAGGCTGTTTCAGAGGATGGGAAATCTTGACCACAGAGTCCATCATGGCCATATTCCTTCAGAGGCAGGATCAATTTACTTTTTCTTCCCAATCTCACTGGATGGGCAGATTCCACCTGGAGCAGGCAGTCTCAGAAATACCTAGGCCTCAAGCCATATAGAACATTAAAGGCAACAACTACCAACTTGAATTGTACTGGCTGCTAACTGGCAGCCAATCAACTCCTATAGTAGAGGTGTCACAAAAGGAAACCTAAGATTCCCCAAATTACATTTTGAATCGGTTTCCATTTGCAATTGGGCAGACTCACGTCCAGTTAGTTGCAATAGTCCACACATGAAATGATAAGGGCATGACTGATTATCAGTAAAGCCCCCTTTCTAGGAATAGTCAAAACTGGTGCACAAAATATAATTGTTTAAAGGCCCTACTTGCTACTCTACTTGCCAAAGTCTCTACTTGCTACTCTAAGCAGGCGGGCGATGTGAGTCAAAGAGGTTCACAGACTGCAAACCAGTTCTGCCAAGAGAAATGCACCCCTGACCATAGCAAGAGATTAATTTTCTCCAGACTGATGTATGAATTTATACTATAGTTATATTATGGTTCAGCCTAAGCCTGTTTCTCCCTGGCCAAATTGTGACAGGCTTAGGTACTGGAACAAAATCTCCATTGCTATCTCCTGCATAGCCAAGGGTGGGGGTGTATAACTGAGTATCATCAGCATACCATGTTGACAGATGACTTCCCTCAATGGCTTTATGTAAATGTTAAACCTACGGGGGGGGGAGGAGGAATAGCCAAGCGCTGTGGCACCCCATAATGTAGCTCCAATGGCTTGATCTCTCCTCCCCAACCAACTGGAACTGACAGTTTAAAATGGAAGAGAACTACTGTAAAAAGTGTCTCCTCTCCTAATCATCACAGGTATTCCAGAAAGGTACTGTTTCTTTGACTGATTTCTTAGGCCATAAAGTTGCCAACAACTCAGCAGCATATAAAGAATTACAAACAACAGCAATAGAAAATGATTGCACTATGGAGGAGAATAGAGAAACCATACTATAGTTCAGGGGTGTCAAACTCGCAATGTCACGTGACGTGTCGTGATGTATCGCGACTTTTTTGCCATTGCCCGCAATGGGATGGGCGCGGTTTGCTATGGTGCATCCAGCCCGGGGGCCGGCAGTTTGACACCCCTGCTATAGCTGTATTGATCAAAAAGAAACATGCTTATCCTGCCTAAACTTACAGAAAAGGCAGAAACAACCGGAGAAGGCAGTCCCACAGATGTCCATGCTCTGTACCATGTAAGGCTATATAGATGACCATCAGCAGCTTGAATTGGAATCCAAACCCACCATTATTAACCAAATCAAACTAGAAGTGTTACATGTGTACATTGAGGTGTGCCACAGCTACTTGAATAGCCTCATTCAGGATCAGCTATATCTACCAAATGGTCTTCAAGGTCAGATACATACTGCACAATTAATGGTTTTGAAGCAAATGCGTTTCAGTGCCCAAGCACTGTTATAGGCACCTTTGGATCCTCTGAGGCAAAATACTGCAGAACAAAAACATAGATTTTCCTTTTAAGTCTTCTAATCTAAATGAATAGCAACCTCCCTCTAGAGTCAAGAGATAGTTGCAAAGAGAACCAAAAGGATCTAGAAGGCCCCACCTTATTATAGTCATTAATAAATGATACCTAAATTATCCATATTCAGTTTCTAAAATCTGTAATGTAACTGCTTTCTTCTTGTCATCAACCTAATTAATTAGACTGTGAGAATTGGGCTTTCTTGGCTGTGAGCCACTGATAGGGATTTGAGCACCCAAATTAAAACCTCTCTCCCCTCAGTACCATACTAAAATACAACACTGATTTTCAATTGGCTAAATAGTCTACTTTTCATGTCAATGTACAAGGAAAAATATCATTATATAGCCATATCGCTCCTGAAATACTCCCCACATTATTCTATATTGCTCCTATTACAAATATATCCAGTTGCAAGTAATATAGGAGGAAATAAACATTGTAAACGAAACAAAGATAACCATCAATATATTAAGCCAAGGGGGAGGAAATCAAGGAATTCTTCTCCAAAAAAACAATTAACCTCCAGATTACAGAATATGAAGCCAAATTCCCCAAATAGCCTGGAAATATGAATGTCAGAATTATGCATGTGTAACGAAGTCACCATCAAACAGAAATGAGCAGAGGAAACAAACAAAAACCAATTGTTAGCCTACATTCAGTCCATCACAGGGCCTGATATTGATTCCAGAATTCTACATCCTTCTTGATATCAACAGAAGAAAGCAATACTATTTCCTAAACCATTTCTACTAGTTCAGGAATAGGAAGAAATAGCAGTAATCAGTAAATTAACAATATTGATTTGGGGATTTCACACTAAGCATACACTCTGAATAGTGGTTAAGGTACCATAACAAAAAGAGGAAAGGAATTACAATAACTGATCTAAAATCACTCTTAAAACTCCATCTGGTATACACATCTGTATGTTACTAATAAAATTCTATCAACCCACAGAGTAATGTTATAGAACAGTCAGATTGCTGGAATAGAATGGGGTGACCTAGTCTTATCTTCAGGCATGGATACTCACTGGGTGACTTCAAAGATAGTATTTCTCACCCCAGCCCATCAAACAGAACTGTTATGGGAATAAAGCATTGGGAAATTATCATGAAAGTAGGCTTGAGTTCCTAGAGAAAAAAACATGATATAAATCTAACAAGCTGCGAATAAAAATAAAAAATTGAAAAGATATCTTTGAGTGCTTCAGGATGATATGTTTATTGTGTAATCATTCTACTTCATTGTCTGAATTTTATGGGGAGTTCAGGTATTATAATCATTTGTAACCTTCCTGCTTTTACCTCTTTTCATCTTTCTTCCATTTCTTACCTTACTATAGAAAATTATTTAAAGTGTTTAGTATAGAACAGGCATCAAATTCCCTGTGATGGTATAAGAAGCCATTTTATCTGAACATATCTCTTGTTGCAGATAAATGTCAAACGTAATAATAAATGTTAAAGAAGTAAATACAGAATGTACATTTTGAACTTTATTAAGAAGCATTTTAATAGTTCAGCTTGAAAAAAATTATTAGACGGACAAATTCAAGATTAACAAAATCTGAAATTCTCTGATTAAAAAATATTCTCCAATTGAAGAAGTCTCATCTTTCAGAAAAGTATCATTCACTAATGAGATTAATCAATTTTTATTATTTTTTTAGGTAGCTTAAAAAAATAAGCTTAGAACACAACAAAATTCATTTCTGATACCTGAATGGTTCTGTAGGGCTTGGTTCTGCCCATCCTTTGTTGGAGTGATCAAATCCCAAATAAAACTCTTAATCTTCTCATCTCCCTTATAATGTTTAACACAGTAGACCAGCAGTGCTCGGCAGATCATCTCCATATCCTTTTCATTAAGATGCCATTTAAACCGGCCATGGGTCAGAATATCTTTCCAACGTCCCCAGCTTGAGAAAAACAGATGTACAGCATACAAAGACTATCAGAATTGTATAATGTTCATACATTCTCATTAGTTTATCACTACAAGATTGAAAAAATAGAAGAGGGAAATTAGGGGAAAAAATTAGCAGGAAATGGTGAAAGAGGCAGCAATGGAGCTAAAGGGATCTCTGTTTACCATAAAAAAAATAACTATTGCTCCATGAATTTTAATGTATAGCAATGGAAGAAAATGCCATGAGTAGTAGAATTATAGGTATTGAAATGTTACCCTGATTTCAACATTCCAAATACTACTAAATTTTTAATAGAACTGCAACAATCCTTGTATATAATACAGAATAGAACATTCAAGAGAGATTTAACAAAGAAACACACCCAAATATAAGCAGATTTTTCTCCACACGAAAACATTCAGCCCTTAAATACCGACGTGTTTTTTCATTGAGACGCCGTGAACGTGTAGGTCGCTCATCAGAGTCACTGTCCAGCTCTGAGAACTCCATCAGCTCATCTTCCTCAAAGGAGTTGTAGTGTTTGGTTTGCCTACGGACACGGGGCCTGTCAATCACCAGGCTCTCCTAAGGGGGAGGGGGTTAACAAAAAAAATACATATAATTCTTGTATCTTACGCCGAACCGCTCAGCATGCTTAGCTACACATTTTGTTTTTTATACTATTGGTTAATACATTGATCTAAAATATGACTGAACATTCAAATTTTATGTTATGTTTGTAAGTTTTCAAAATTCTTGATTTCACATACTTTTTTCTTTATCTCAAGGTATGTGTTGTTTTAATAGTGTTATGTTATAAAAAATAGTTTTTAAATTGTTTGTGATATAAATTAAATAGCTTTGCTGAGTTTGGAAAATAAAAGATTTGTTTATTGTCATTCAAACCTGACCTGACTTTGAAATGTGTGGTGTATTTTTTCTACAGCTATTATAAAGAAGCACGATAGCAATGCTTAAAATTGCTTATACAGATACTAATCAACCTAAAATTTGCATTCACATAAGGATCATCAGGAGAAAAGGCTGAAAGCAATACCAACAAGCTAAAAATTAGATTCTGCAGCATCAGTTTGATTACTTTTTAAAAAAAGAAACAAACAATAATATCTCTTTTATTATAAACATTTAAAATTTAACAGCTGGAATGAAAATGAATTGGCAAATATAGTTACAACACTTTGCCACACACACACAAAACAGAGACTATGTTTTTGACCTCCCTTTTTCAATTATTTCTAACCACAGTCATGTGAATCTTAATGTTGTTAAAGCAACATTTGGGGGGGGGAGCCTTTGTGATCTGTTGCTTAGCAATCTTCCTTGTGCTTCTAAGCTCCCTTTCGCCTTTCCAGCTGGAGCTTTACAAGGTAGGACCCCAAGGGTTTACTGACATCACTTCTGCCAGAGGAAGTTAGCATTGAGAAAACCAGCTGTTTAACCGAAGAGATAAACAAAATGATTGGGCACAAAGAGAAAGCATTTATAGTATTTTATTTTTGTAGGTATATGAAGAGTTAAGATCCTCTCCACAAAATATTGTGTCCATATTTTTTTATATTCTATGCTCCTAGTTTAAAAAAGGTTGGTTCTCATGGCTGGAATAATCTGATATACCAGACACCCACTGTCATTCAAAGGGACTCTCATATTTTAGCTCTGGAAAGGAAGTAGGTGGTAGATTTTCCCCTTTAATACAGTAGCTTTCTGTTTCTAAACAAGCTTCAAAAGAAATAAAAGATATAGAAGTAGACATTCTGGGAATAAATCAGTCTTACTTCTGGCACTGTGTAGAGTAAAAGAACGATGCTGAGGTCTTAAGTTGAAACAAATTACACATAGCCCTTGACTTACAACCATTCGTTTAGTGACCATTCAAAGTTACAACTGCAGCGAGAAAAGTGACTTATGACCGTTTTTCACACGTACAACCATTGCAACATCCCCATGGTCATATGATCAAAATTCAGGCACTTGGCAGCTGGCTCATATTTATGATGGTTGCAATGTCCTGGGGTCATGTAATCATCTTTTGCAACTTTCTGACAAGCAAAGTCAATGAGGAAGTCAGATTCACTTAACAACCATGTTATTAATTTAACAACTGCAGTGAATCACTTAACAACTGTGTTAAGAGCTTTTGTAAAATAGGTCAAAATTCACTTAACAACTGTCTTGCTTAGCAACAGAAATTTTGGCTCAGTTGTGGTCATAAGTCGAGGACTATCTGTATACTGCTATCAGAGAAAGATAATGCAAAGCTACTGGATCACTGGGATCCAAAGACTAAAATACTCATTTTTTCCAAGCTGATTGCAAATGGAGAAACCAGTAGTGATCCATTCATTTGCTACCTGTCAGGCATGAACAAGATCCACACGTGAAGAGTTCAATTAGCTGTTTTATTGCTCAAGCCTATACACAGAAATCTCCTCAGACTGATGGTTTGCAACTGGATTAGATCAAATTAAGTTCAACAGCATTCAAGGGAGAGTCAGATTTCACTTTCTTGTGCCCATGTCGGAGTTCCAGACTAATTCCCTACTTGACTCCTTCCCGGACTCAACTCATCCCTCTCTGACATTACCAGCATGTTTATTTTAGATATATAAAATCCTGATTCAATGTGATCTTTCTATTTTCAAATAAAAATTTAAAAAAGACATTAAAAGATGTTCATCCAACTAAAGCATGTTTTAAGATATTTCACAAAATAATACAGAAACCTAAATTTCTGTCTGGTCTTTGTTGTCAGCATGGGAATATGGTGATTTATTTTTTTAACTAGATTTTGCAAAAAGGAAAAAAAACAACCTTAATTTCATATGCCAAAATTTTACATTTTCACAATATCCCTTGATTTGCTGTCATAGCATTGGGTATCTAAATTGCTACATGTAGAAGATGCGGATAAATTGCATTTTATGTTCAATTTAGAAACAGAGTTACAATTTTAAATAGTATTGAATGATCAGCTCTTAAATACAACCCAGCATCATTCAAAATGTTAATACCAAATTCAATCACTGTCTTTTCTTTTGCTATCCATCTTGAGGCAGTTACGTTTACTTTCATTTTGAAATGTTTTTTTCCTGCTGATTTTAAGTAAAAACACTCTTAATTTATTTTGAATGATTTTATGCAGGTAGATTGAGGGAGTATAGTGTTAGATAGATATTTTACATTCAGTTATGATAGGATACTGTGTAACTATAATCCTAAACAGAATGGCTTTGACCCAGCACCAATAGGATTTTATAATTCTTATTATAGAATTTTTAACAAGATGAAAATAATACAATTTTTAGAAAAAATAAAGAAAAATAGCTAATTAATAAGAAAGAAATTAGGAAAAATAAATTATAAGGATTATAAAGAAGTGGCTTCTGGTTTTCTTAGCTTTGCCCTCTCAAAGATCACATCATAATTTCCTTCTTTTCATAACCTATCCTTTCGTCAACCCCATAAATCAAAAGTTCATTTTTTTCTTTCTTCAGAAAAAAGTCCATAAGGGATTTCTAGTTGCTAATAAACATAGTCATTGTCGTTTTCTTAATCAGACAAGTCAATTTAGCCACATCTACTAATTCTGCCATTTTCACCAACTATTATGGGTATTTCAGAATCTTCCCATTTTTGTGTTTGTATTGGTTGTCAGATAGCAATAGCACTTAGACTTATATGCTGCTTTATAGTGCTTTACAGCACTCTCTAAGCAGTTTACACAGCCAGCGTATTGCCCCCAACAATCTGGGTCCTCATTTTACCAACCTCAGAAGGGTGGAAGGCTGAGTCAACCTTAAACTGGTGAGGATCGAACTCCTGGCAATGAACAGAATTAGCCTGCAATATGCATTCTAATCACTGCACCATCACGGTTCCTAAATACCATGGCTCCATATAATAAAAAAAATGTTCCATAATTTTTTCCTATTGTCCAGCTATTAATATCCTACTTTATGCATCATAAGACGTTCATGTCAACTACTTGAGCTAAAAACTCAGTATGTATTTACAAAGCAGATTTAGGATACAGATGGAAAAATCAAGACTTCCTGTAGAAGTTATCTACACATACTCTGCATTCATCGCATATACTATTAGTGCCCCAAAACCTCAGTAAAACCTTTAATCCTAGCCATGTAATTAGGGGAATCTTTTGCAATCAGCTCTGAGAATATGTAAATTTGGAAAAACAACATATTTTAAGTTTCCAGAATAAATACATCATAATTACCTTTTCATCCTTTGCATCAGTATCCAGTTCAGCTATTTTTGCCCATTTCTGCCAGAAGTTGGGATCATCTAATGAAATGTCAGTTCTGTTTCCTGAAGCAACAAAGCTGGCCTGGGAGTAAAATGCAAATTAATAGATTGTAACTGACAGAATAATAGAACAAATTCGCCATAAGCCCTATATGTCAAGCCAACTGTCATGTTTAAAAAGACTGTCCAAGAGAATTTGCTAGAACCTGTTGCCCTCCAGATATTATCTAACTGCAATTCCCATTACCTCTGATCATTTGCACAATAGGTTGAGGCAAGAAGGAACCGAAATTCAATAACTAGATTTATCCTGTAAAAAAAAAAAAGCACTCAGACCCTAAGAGAGTATTCTCCAACCTGGATGGCCTCCAGATTTCCCAGCAACTCCCATTAGTTGGGAAAGGCTGCCCTGGGTGGATGAGAACAGTTGGTTTGTAACTCGTAACACCTCTTTGAAGATTAAGAATTCTTACATGAAGACCTCACCAGAGACATCCATACGGGAGGAGGAGCAAGGAGAAAGGATTACAGCAACTGTGTGCTTACACAACTCAAGCTGTGTCCTGCATATAACCATAACAGGAATTGAAGCCACATCGTAATGGCATGCTGCTTGCTTTTGTTATTTTTATGAAAGCCTTGATCCTATACCTTTGGACTGTATAAGTATGGAGAATATGGCTGAAAGCAGAAGACAATGGCTTGAAACCATTGCTTTTCATCTCTGTTAAAATATTCTTCTCCATTCCTTGCAACAAGTTAGGTTTAATTATCATGGTAAACTATAATTTGGTTAGGGGGTTTTTTGACAACCATATAACAACTCAGCCATTTGGCTTGAATAAACTATATTTAAAATAAGCAAAGTCTTAACAGAATATGAATCAATCATTCAGTTTATAATTCTGATTAAAACTTTGCTTTCTAAATCACTGTATTTTCATTGATAATAATACTATCAAGTTAAAAATGAAGTGGGATATGAAAGCAGGAAAAAAATAATCTTTACATAAGGAATGGACAAGATGTAGCCTTCTATATGTTGTAGGACTGTAATTCTCATCATCCGTCATGATCAACTGGTTCCAACTGATAGAAGGTGGAATTCAACATGAGGAGAATTGTATCTCTGGTTTGGGAAAGAATGGCTATCTAATTCCAATAGGACTTGTACAAAGCAACAAGAAGCTGTGAGCTCCTATCATGCTCTTTTTTGCATGCAGCTAATAAAAACAAAAATAAAACAATTTCCCACAATAAACTTTGATGGTTTTGTCCCCATAGCACATGACCAACCTTGGAAAATGTGGAGCCTTTCCCTTCAGTCTGAATAGTGATGGTTTGAGTCCTACGTTGCAGGATTTGGTCGATATCTTCTTCGCAGAATTTGGAGCCTTCATCTTCCTCATCCATTAAAGCCCCATAAGCACCTTTTCGCAACAAGTCTTCAACCTCCATCTTGGAGAGCTGCTGCACCTTCCAGAAACAGACAGACTGATTGATTCCAGAATGGGAAAAAAGACAGGAACTCATGACAACTTCCAGATATAAGTTGACATGAACATCTAAGGAGGAAGGGGAATAAAGATTAGAAGACCTCTAGGTCTTGTCTGTATAGGATACCCTTACCCCATTGTTGCTTCCCTTGCGGTTGATATCCTGCAACACTGCCTTGTCTAATCCTAGTTTCAAGCTGGCCTTGTCAAACATCTCTCGTTCATAGGAATTTCTGGTGATGAGGCGATAGACTTTAACTGCCTTGCTTTGCCCTATTCGGTGGCAGCGAGCCTGAGCCTACAGGAGGAGAAAGACATCACTCAAAGTAGAGTTGGCAGAATTGGGGTGAGGGGAAAATTAAGTTTCCTCAAGAAGAATATCTCCCATTCATGCCATCACCTAAATCACCATCTCCCACTCATGCGGTTATCAGTATCATTCCACTTTTCAGTAGCACATTGGGAGCCATATTCCAAAAAAGAATAGGTGGGGTCAGGACAAAACTAAAGATCAAGCTAATTAAAATGTAAAATTAAGTACAGGAGGGCACTAATTTCCTTATCTGGCATATTTAAAATTATAACATGATAACTTCTGGAGTTCGTGGGAGAGAAAGAGTCAAGACTTCTGAAGGATAGATATGGCTAAGATCTGACACTGTTTACTTCTTACTTAAAATATTTAAACTACTTCCCAGTGGGGATTCACAACATCTGAACTGAGCCAATAAAAATTATCTATCAGGCTAAGGACCCTAATATGAACTATGAAACAAAAACAACTGTGGTTAAATTAATCCATTGTTTTTCACCAAATAATCAAAATATGACCCAAAATAGTAAAATCTCAATTTGAAAGACAAAATTGAGGCTCAACACGTCCTCTCACCCTTCCCTCATACAAGATATAGCTTCTATCATTGAGCTGGAAAGTGTCCAAGATTGTGGATGCAAAAAAGTGCCACTCCAGAAACATAGTAATCCCATAGCAGCAAGAGTGTGCATGTGTAATTAACAGAACAGGACACTTTTAAATTCTTTCTTGGTGGCTTCTCTCCTTAATGTCATCTGCAATGCAATAGGGCACTTTAGGCTTGGTTTTCTCGACATCCCGCAAGTCCCTGACAGTTTGAAAGAATCAGGACACTTAATGTATCTTTATGCATACATAATTCTACCTTTTGGATTAATCAAACATTTTGATTTAACAGATCTCTTCCCTCCAGATAGTGTGTGTGTGTGTGTGTGTGTGTGTATTATCTTTTATTCTAGTTGAAACAATATGCCTTAGATCTTTGTTGTCCTTTGCTGATTTATATATCTAAGCTTTTTAATCTTATTGCTCTAAGGATATTATAAGTTGTTCAGAAATCTCCTGACAAGAGTGGCATATCAATCTGAGTAACAACATAAAACAAATCAAATGCATGTACATATAAAACTGTTTATTGTGGCCCATGTCCTTTCAAGTACTTTTGTCTTCAGAGCAGCTCAATTCACATTTTCATAGGTCTTCTACATAACTTTTATTCCCAGAGATAGCACTAAATTTCTCCTAAAATCACCCCTTGGGGCCATCGGTTCTCATCTCTCAAATACCTGCAGATCATTCTGTGGATTCCAATCTGAGTCGAAGATGATACAGGTATCAGCAGCAGTAAGATTGATGCCTAGCCCTCCTGCCCTTGTGCAGAGCAAGAAAACAAAACGGTCTGAATCTGGCTTGCAGAAGCGATCGATTGCAGCCTGACGTAAATTCCCACGAACCCGGCCATCAATGCGCTCATAAGTATATCTGTATAAATGGAAGTCCCATGTGTTATTTTAGAAATAACACAAAAAAGAAGTTAAGTACTGTAAGACTAGGAAACCCTGCTTCCATCTACCCACATTAGCAATACAGCTTTGGGATAATAATAAATTGTTTTAATTACCTTAGTCTAGCTAGCATAACCTTCCCCAACCTGATGGTTAAGAAAGCAAAAGTTGCAATCCAAATATATCTGATAGATGTTGAAGAAGACTAATTAGATATTAAAGGTATCAATAATCAGCCTCTCCCTTTCACAGAAATGCCAAAGAAATTGTGAGATAATGTATGATAAGTCCAAAGATTATACTATGCATTTGGAAAAGTATTTCTCAGCTTATCAGATACCATAAAACAAACAACTGAATTTTTCTGTCTTGATACTGTAGACATCTAAATCTACAAGAATAATGTTACTAGTTTGCTACCTAACTAGCTATATGAATGGAGTCTGCTGGAAATCTATTTTTGATCTGTGAGTATAGATATTCAAGCATAGAACAATGTTCTCTCCAAGAAATTGACATACAGCATCTAAAAGTCAAAGGCATTCAGCAATACGATAGATTTTTCTAAAATTTGGTTCCTTTCCTTCCACTTCTTCTGACCTTATACCTCTATGTTTTCTCACTTGCTTTCCAAACTTGAAAGGAAGGCTGGACATACTTCAGTGCTCTATGAGGTATCATTCAAGTTAATCTCCTACAGCTTCTGCATAGCACTACAACCCCATTTTTCTTGAGGACTTTGCCTGTTGCTATAATGGCAGAATTTTATTTTAGTGGTTTGCAAAATGATCAACATGAAAAGGACAATGTTGCCACCAAGTAATTGGCAGGGGAGAAAAATCCTGCAGTTCTAATGACTACATTGACAATTTGATTGATCTCTGAGCTGAGTGTGCTCCTACTATAAAGACAGATGCTTGACTACATCAATATTCCAAAAGTAGTCTTGCAACTAATTATGTTTACAAAGAACTGGAGAAATATTTCAGTTCAACATTTTTTTCAATGTAAGCCTTATATATGTTTGAAAAATACATTTCTCCTGCAAAGGAAAAAAAAGGCAAAGTGTGAAATCATGCAGAGAGAAACAAAATAAGACAGAAAAGAAGGGGGGAAAGGCAAAGTGTGAAATCATGCAGAGAGAAACAAAGTAAGAGAGAAAAGAGAAAAAATAACAAGGAGATCAAAGGATCTAAGACAATGAGAAGAAAACAGTATATACATAAGCACTAGAAGATGCAAACAGCCTAATGGAATAGCCAAATAGCTGCTTAGAATTGATCCACATGATGCTCTTTTGTGGTATACGCTTCTGGACTGAACTGACCGCCGGTGGATGAGATAATCCTCCAGGATATCAAGGCAGCGCACCATCTGGGAGAAGATCAACACCTTGTGCCCGCCTGCAATCAACTTTGGCAGCAACTTATCAATCAGCACCAGCTTGCCTGCTGCCTGGATCATTGCCTGCAACTGGAAGTCAGGAGCTTCTGAGTTGTGGGTTTTACGGAAATCTTCTAGGATCTTTTCCTCTGCTCCTAACCCAGAAATAGAGAGGGGAAAAAATAAGTAGGAACGTTAAGTTGAATAACCAATATGAAAAGCAATTCCATCATACAACATTCTAGCAGAAAACCTCTGGTGCTATTCCTTGTTTTAACTGAGGCTTTGTAAAGAAATACAAAGCAAATGCAAGTGCTAGTTCTTATCCCTTTATGAAACATACATTCTTATGAAACGAACATTCTACACACATGTATAAGCATTCTCCATCTTTGGTTGCTCCACAAGCAATCTTTCAAGTTAAGTACACAGAGTGATAGTAATATGTTAGTTATGAGGTTTTCCAAATGAAAATAAATAAAAGCAATAATAATGCTACCATCATCAACTAACTAAGAAGGTAGCAAAAAAAACTAAGCAAAACATTCCTGACTATTGATGGGCAAATGGAAAACTGAAGCACCATTACATCCCCATCATATTTTAAGTGGGCTGGAGTGCCCAACTTCCAGCCCTACCTCTTACCATTAATGAGGTAGGGGTGATTGCAGCACTTGCGCAACTCCATCATGGTATTAATGAGATTAGGCATGTTATGCTGGTTAGCACCCTTGGATAGAAAGCTAAAATTTTTCTCCAGGATAGCTCGATAGTATTTCTTCTGGATGTTGGTCAGCTCTACTTCAATTATGGTCTCCTGTTTGGGTGCTAGATTCTTCTCCACATCATCCTTCAGCCGTCGCAACATCATGGGTTTTAGGAGGGACTGAAGTTTCTTCACCTGCCGGGATTACAAAATATAATCTACCAATACCATATATAATACTTTCCCAATAATTCATGAAAGTAATATAGAAAATAATTCTTAGTGATGCCAGGGCTAGTACATTGAGGAAATATGTAACTGCTCAAATTCTAAGATTATCATATTAGGGCAAAACTGTGTAACTCTTCTGTTTTTCTGCTCCTAGTTTCAGCAAGAAAGTACATACATGCAACAGACAGTAAAGGCACCTTTGGAGAACATGAGTATAAATGCATATATGTCTAAATATTTGGTGATATATGAAAAATGAAAATTTTGTTGAATTAGGTTTGTTGGCAAGTAAGTTAGAAATGGTTTTCAATATGGTTGTACAAGACCAGAAATATTTTGGCAGGAAAGACAATATTTATATATGAAGAACTTGAAGATATGTTTGTGTATAATGAATGTTTGAGTTTGCTGCATTGTGTTCTC